GTACGATCCTAGTCGTGTATGTATCATTCATTCTTTTTTATTTTTTTTTCTATCACAAATTATAGTTTTTGCCATAAAAATTGGAAAAATTTTCAGTATTTAAGCAAAACTAACATGGTTTTTCTCGGGAATTCACAAATGGATGTATGGTTTTTTCTCGGGAATTCACAAATGGATGTATGGTTTTTCTGGGGAATTCACAAATGGATGTATGGTTTTTCTCGGGAATTCACAAATAATCCATCTTAAATTAAAATCATCGGCGCATTTTTGATTTCAGCACAGATCTCATTTCTCAATAACAATCTGATAGAAATATTCTTTTCATAAATAAATTTCATTCGTTTTGTAAATATTTTTGTTAATCAATTTAAATTAAAAAATGTCAATTACTAATTGAAATTTTGTGAAAAGTTCAAAAATTGATCTTTCCCTTTCTACTTAATGCAATTAATTGTTGAGAAATGAGAAAAACAAAAAAGGTAGTTTATGATCATTAGAAAAACAAAACTACGATTGTGGTAGAAAATTCATTCTAATAGTAAGTGGACAAATATGCAAATTAATGATAATTGGGTTTTTACAAATTTTTATCAATTTTTTTTTCCTTTAATCATTCATTTCATTGCTTCTTCTGCATGCTATGTTAATCTTCTGATTGCTTCCGATTGTTTTATTGATTAGTTAGAAAAATCAATGAAACTTAGTATCGATTAAACTTTCTTATATACCAACTAATTGATCCTCTATGTTTATAGCACGAATTGTGATTTTATTCAGCATTCTTCTTTGTATGACAAATGGGCAAAAATAGGCGTTAAAGATGCATTTATTATTGAAAGAATTTTCAATCAAATCATCTCAATGCATTTTATTAATTACAAAAATGAATTTCATATTGATAATGGATGATTAAAAAATATTTCTTTCCAAAATCTTTAACAGTTAAATGGGAGGTAATTAATCCTTCAAATGGATGAGAATAGTTTTTTTTTAAAAAAAAAGATGTGACATTGTTTATTTTTATTTATTTACTTTTTTTTTGGTATAATTTGAGCTAATATGTCAAGTTGATGAGGTTACCTGAAATGTTTGTTCAGGTAGGAATTCAGTATGAGTTTAAAAGATAGCAGAAAAAGAGTGTGAAAGAAAAAAGAAAGTATGCAAACAAAGAGAAATGTCTATTATAACATTGAAATATTTTTCATTTGGAATAATGTTTAGCATCTTTTTTTTTTCTAGAACTTCGATCCGTTCACATTTCCAAATTTACATATAATGCGAAAAAAAAACGGTTACAATATTCCTTATCATATATTTTCCATCTTTTAGACATTTGGTATTTATCGTTAAGCGTATTTCTTATCAAATATAACTGTTATGTGTAATGAAGAACTGATATTTCAGATTATCAATTGAGAGAAGTGAAGTGACTTTTGTGTTATCATTTTAAGCAAAATTAATTATTCAATAATGATTGCATAATATCGATATTTTACTTTTAATGATGATTATGTGATATCAAATGATGAATATTGCCTTGCATTTCTTGACGTTTCTTACTTTACTTCTCAAGGTAAAATCAATTTTTCATTTTTCTTAATTCTTTTTATCAGGAATAATCATTCGGAACACACAAAAAAAAAAAACAAGCATTGTAAAATTTCATCCAATAACTTTGTAAAATAAAGTAAATGATTTTGATTGGTCAAAAATTTAATAAAGTTAGTCAAATATAAAAGTTTGGTTAAGAACTATTAAATCATTGTATATCGGTTATGAGCGGGAATAATCCGAGGATTATTACAGCCAGTTGTAAATCAGCTTGTAACATTACATGATGGGTCACCACTGTTTGGTCGTGAAGTGCATGCTGAAAATGGGAAATTGGTTACGGAATTTCTCGGGATACCATTTGCAGAACCACCAGTTGGACAATTGAGGTTTCGAAAACCAAAACCAAAGCAACCATGGCGAACACCATTTAATGCTACAACTATGCCAAATGCCTGCATGCAGGTACACAACCTAATACGAAATTTAAGTGACCTGGCTCCTAAGTGACCTGATCCTAAGTGATGTGATCCCAAATAATCTTTGTTTGTATTTTTGAACTAATCCGTAGTGTCCAGGTCAGTTTTATTTATTATCAGTTTCTAGTAATAATGAGTAAATCATAATATTATAATCATAAATTTCCAAAAATCTCTTCCAATATTTCATTAATCAATAATATATTTTAACCTAACATATTATCATAAAGAATAATGGATTAATTGGCTTCTAAAAAGTTAATAAATTAATTAACTTAATTGGTTTTCAAATTAATTAACTCATCATGTTTTGAAAGGCGAAATATTGCAATCATTTATAAAAGCCTAAATTTTACATCAATTTCAAATTAAAACTGTAAAAATAACCGGCTGATTTCAGAGTTTGGATACATATTTTGGTGATTTCGAAGGAGCAACAATGTGGAATAGTAATGTGCCCGTATCCGAAGATTGTCTTTACCTCAATTTAATTATACCGGGACAGATCAATCGAAATGCTCGATTACCGGTTATGGTATGGATATATGGTGGAGGATTTTGGTCTGGATGCATATCATTGGATGTTTATGATCCAAAAATTATTACTAGGCTAGTTCCTATAAGTTTTTTCCTTTTTTTTCTTTCCTTTTAAATATATTATCACTCTATGCATGCTATATCGCAATGTTTCTCGAGATTTCTATGTCACTTATTTTGTTAATCAAGTTAATAAAATTTCAATTTCAATCCTTGCAATTTGAATTCACAAATTTTAAAATTCATTTAAAAGTCAGTGATGTCATCAATCTTCAAAGAGTAAAATAATTGCTATGAGATATTTGCATACTACTTTATTAAATTTCTTTGAATTTGAAAAAAAAAAGATTTAAAATATATTGAAAGAAAAGTAGTAAAGCCATAAGGTATACTTAAATACGCAATTTTTTTTTTTTTCAGCGAAGAGAATGTGATATTTGTGGCCATGAATTACCGCGTTAGTGTGTTTGGCTTTTTATATATGGGCCGAGAAGAAGCACCTGGTAATATGGGCCTATGGGATCAACTTCTAGCATTGAAATGGGTTCGTTTTAATATTACTTTCTTACTGTTAGTGATAATAATCATTTTCGATATGAGCATATTTAATAAATGCTTCTCTCATCTAACCAATTTTATCAATAACAGGTTATCAGTGATAGTTGATAGAAATGAGATTCAGATCAGTAGTACTCCTTTCAAATGATTCATTTACTTTTTACATGACAAATGCGCCTTTTACCTTTCATACAATGCTGTCATGGATATATGATTCCATTTAGAACACAATTATATCCTCATTAACTGCTTTATAAAATGCAAGATTTCTGTAACTTAAGTCAGCAAATTTTAAATTTTGTTTAAAAATAAAATTGATTATTTTAGGTTCGAAAAAATATCGATTTATTTGGAGGAGATCCTAATCAAGTGACATTATTTGGTGAAAGTGCTGGTGCAGCAGCAGTTTCAATGCATTTATTAAGTCCAAGAAGTTCACCGTATTTTCAACGAGCAATTATCCAAAGTGGAAGTGCTACAGCTCCTTGGGCTACAGAATCCAGGTATACTTACAGTTTTTTACAAATTAGGGGCTGCAGAATCCAGATATGCTTACAGTTTTTACAAATTGATTTCCTAAAATTTTTGCTCTTAACATTGAAAATTGTATGATGAGACTAATGAGAATTTACATTTTGTAATTTGCATTTAATTTTTTTTAGAGAGATAGCAATTACACGATCCATTGTTTTATATGATAATATGCAATGTGGAAATATGTCAAAAGATCCTCAGAATTGGGATCTTGAAAAGGTTATGATTTCAGTATAGAAGCAAGCAAGCATGAAAGTATTTATAAAATATTTAGAAAACGAATTTAAAATTTTAAGAAATTTTGAAATGAATAGAATGATCGATGATTGCATCATTTAATCATAAAATTATCTAAGTAGTCCTTTCTTAATTAATTAATTTAGGTGTTACGATGTCTAATAGATGCACCAGCAGAAGCGATCCGTGATTCAGAATGGGCACCTGTAATGGAATTTGCCGATTTCCCGTGGGTTCCGGTAATTGACGGTGATTTCTTGATTGAGCAACCGACAACATCACTCAAACGAGGCAATTTTAAAGTTGCTGAATTGCTCATTGGCTCGAATATGGAGGAAGCTATTTATTTCATTGTTTATCAGTTGGGTGTAAGTTTCAAAATATTTTTTGCTGTTCTTTTAAAAAAATATCGATTACTATGCCGAAAAAAAAATTATATGACAGGAAAATGCTTTCCATTATAATCAATAATATTGAAATTATCTTTATTACTGCTTATCAATACCACTGATAACATCAAATGTATTAATATGGCATTCATTGTTCAGAATATTTTTTGAACGGAAAAGAATTGAAGAGGAAAGCTAACATTACAGTTATATTGCATGCATTTTATATAATTCATAAATTGATGATTAAAGAAGATAATTTTGCTCTTATCATAATTATCATCTTAATGCTGATACAATTAATACCTTTATCAAAATTTATCAACAATTTACAGGATATTTTTCCACCAAAAGATTTCTTCATAAAGAATGATTTTGTGACAAGTCGCGAAGAATGGTTACATAGTATATCAAATTTATTACCCCGAAAAATGCTGCAATCTCCGTTAGCATTAGCATCGATTATCCATGAATATGAACCAGCTGATCTACCAATTAAGCCATCTGATTGGATTAATTCATTGGATAAAATGCTTGGTGATTTACAATTCACATGTAATAGCAATGAAATTGCATTGGCTAATAGCATGCATGGAGGTAAAATAATCACTTTTTAATTTCAAAATATAGCCAACAATCATTAAAAAACCAATTAATTAATTAATTGTAATTTCTAATTTACGATTTATTTTTTGTCTTTCAGGTGATACTTACTATTATTACTTCACGCATCGGTCAAGTCAACAAAGTTGGCCCAAATGGATGGGTGTTGTACACGGATATGAGATAAATTTCGTATTTGGTGAACCATTGAATACGAAGAAATTTTCGTATACTAAAGAAGAGCAGGAATTAAGTATGAGATTCATGCGATATTGGGCTAATTTTGCCCGTACCGGGTACATTCTTACTTTCTTCATGTATCATTGGTATCTCTGATGAAGACAGTTTTTGAAAGTAATAAAGTTATATGAGAAAGATAAATTTAGAAAAAAAAACTTTTATTAAAGTTAAATTGAATTATTTAATAGAAGAGATGATAGAAGATAGAAGATAAAAGATTAGACGAAATAGAATTTGATAAATTTTCTTAAGTTAATTTCAATAAGTTTCATGAAATTTCTCAAATGATTCTTTCAAATAGAATTGTAAGAATTTAAAATCTTTTTGTAAATCTTAACAATCATATCAGAAATCCGAACAAGAATCCGGATGGAACGTATACATCAGATGTTTGGCCACAATATACACAGACAACAATGGAATATATGAATTTAACAGTCGAATCCAATTATTACGCTGGAGCATCACGTATTGGTACTGGGCCAAGAAGGAAACAATGTTCATTCTGGAAGAAAATTCTACCAAATTTGATGGCTGCCGTAGGTTAAACTTTTAAAGTTTCTTTTTTACTTCCTTTTTTTTATTCCATTCGATTAGAAAAGTTTTAAATTTATTTTTAATAATATTTAAATTACTTTCATAACTAATGTAAAATTGAAAGATTCAATCAATCGATCATGATTATTTTACTGATCATAATAATTTAAATACTGAATCTTTCAATCAATCGATCACGATTCTTCTATCGATCATAACCACTAACAATCATAGATTCATTGTAGCCGATACTGGCGATCAAGTAATGCGTTGGAAACAAGAAATGAACCGTTGGGAGAATGAGTATATTATTGATTGGAAGCTTTACTTTGAACAATACAAAAAATATCAAGCATATCGATATGCCGATTCAACAAGTGGTCAATGTTAAGCGGGAAATTTCTATCTAGTTTACATGGGAACTGGTCATTTTTTTATCCGTTTTTTAACAAACCGGTCATCTCTATTCGATTTTCACAAAATTGGTCATTTTTCAATTTAATGATTCATCAAAAATGTTATTCAACTACGAAAGGAAGATATAACAGATGGTATTGGGATGCTTTAAATTATTTGAAACTACAGTAAACCGTTGCTAATGAATTCAGGTAGAATATTTTAGAAATTAGTAATTAATTAAAGATTTTCTTCCTTTCGGATTCTTTCAATGACACATTCCATATGAGTGCATCTGCCCCATTTTATTTTCTGTCAGTTGACAAAAATTGCTACTTTATTTTAATCTTTCAATATATTTTGGTTTTTTGTTCAAATTTATGCATTGATCAAAAGTGATATAATTAGTTTCGATTTAATTCTACAGGGGCATTTGAAGAATTGATTAGTGATAAAGTAAACAATGATTTTATGAGAGTCATTTTGTGATAGGTTAATTTATTAAATTGACAGAAGAGGGATATATTGTAAGAAAAGAAAGGAATATATTTTGTTGAAAGAAATTTAAATTTTAAGTATATTTCGAAGAAAATATCTCATTGATATTCTTCGGATTAAAAAATCTTTTCTTTAAAAATCCAAAGATTTTCCTTTTCCACCAAAATTTCAATCTTTTTTGAAATAAGAGGAAAATTCTGTTATCCATTTGTTCCTTTCTTTCATACATATAAAATAATTTATTCTCATGTTTGGGTACTGTAAACAATTTATCAAGTATCGGTCACGCGTATAGATAAGTTTTTTGATGTCATTTTTCATTTTCAGTGTTTTTGTTCAATTAGATTTTTTCGTCGTCAACTTCTATTTGTTATGTTTCTTTAAACCAATTGATATTCTCGTCCTTAATGGAAATTAAATAATGATATGTTATGCTTACGATGTGAGAATTTGATTAATTAATGAAATGATAAGAAATGATATGATTAGTTGGACTAAATATATGAAATTTGTTGAGTACGAATTATTTTCCTTCGTGTAAACTGAATTATATTTCAGGATAATTAGATTTTACAATTGTATTTCACGATTTTACGATGTACACTTTACAGTCATCTTACTTATGATGGCATGATTATAGTCATGATGATACGGTAGAATACAGCACATGAGTCTTCTCATGGATCGGTACTTTTTTGCACTATTATTTTGGAATTTTCAAAATATTTGCTGAAGAAGTTTCTGGATGTTTAGTTTTTTTTTCCTTTTTGAAATTTTGTTTACAAGAAAAACATTCTCAAACACTACTGTAGGATTTGACAGTATGCGGTTTAGATCCTTTATTTATTTACTTTTTTTGTTTGATCTATTGAACGATGATTTTTAGCAGTAAAATATGAAGAATTTCATATCTCTCTATCCTTATCACCATTTCTCAAAAGTGCATTAGAACTGTAGCAATAATTTGAAATTAAATACGTGCAGTTCTTATCAACTGATAAATCAGTGGTAGTGGCGATGATGAGTTATGCTTGAACATTTGCAAACTCTATATTTATTACATTTTGTTATCTTGCAATATAAGATTTGCAATTTGCAAATGCATGGTTTCTATTTTAGTTTCCTATTTACTTTTCCTAATTCTATCATTCCTTTTTTTTTTTTATCCAAACAAATTGCTTTCAAGCTTATTCGATATCATTCATTAGTATAATTTAAAAATAGAAAAAAATAATTTTTAATTGAACAAAAAATTTTGAAATCATTTCTAGCAGGCATAACGAATTATTTTTTTGGATGAAATCAATTATTTTGAAAATTTATAACGATATCAAATAATGATAAAGTTATGTAAAAATTTTGAAACTTAAGAAATTTTTCAGTTATATGTTTTGAATATGCATAGATGACATATAGCAATATTTACTGGTTAATTAGCCGATTAAATTAATGAGCAAAGAAAAATGTAGCACCATAGGTGGCATATTTCTTCCTTTTTTTTTCTTACTTTTTACTTAAATAGAGCAAATAATTGAAATGATATTTTTTCTTTTTATGAAAAAAAAAATTGTTTTAATAACGAGACATCCAACAAGCACATATCAATGAAAAAGATGGCAGAAATTGAAGAGCAAAGGCAGTTTTATATAGTAGTAGTTGTAATAATTGTAGCATATCACAAAACCAAACCAAATGAAAGATAGAAAGAATAAATGCTTCAATTTTATTTTTCATTTTAATTTAATTAATTTAGCTCCCAGAATTTATTGATTTCACTATAGATTTGAACAAATGGAAAAAGTATAATTTCTTCTTTTTTGGACAATAGTTTTGAAATTTATTCCTTTATAAATTTTAAAATTAATTCTAATTTTGTAGAAAAAGTTTGCCGAAAATGTTTGAAAAATAAAAAGAAAATGCGTAAATTAGTGTAATTAAATTATTAAAATTAAAGGCAGTGCAAAAAATACTTTGAGAGAAAAAAATTGAAATTTTTTTAAAATAATTTTACAATAAATGCCATTTAAAAAAAGAAAGGTACTAATCGGCAGCACTTATATATTAAGCAGTATGGTTTGTTTTGTTGATATTTGTTGTTGTTATCCATTTGGATAGATGTCACTGTTGACTTGACCGTTTGTCTTTTCCGCTTTCCTGAATGCTACTGCTTGTATGGAAATCGGCTCGAATCTGTAGCTTTTATGCACACTTGACATCGGGAGACCCGTGTTCGTAAACTTCCCGATTTCAGTGTTTCACTTTCTGGGATCTAAAATAAACAACAAATTTGTTAATTTCTTTTAAATTTATCAAAACAGAAAACGGAATATGATATCATGTCATACCCTGAATTGTTGATCATCTTCAATTGTTGTAAGCCAAAAACTGAATTTATTGGCGAAATAATGGCAGCTACCTCGAGCACCGTTACATTCAATGAAAGGTGTTGCTCGAAAATCTTCAAGACATGAACCAGGTGAGCTAAAATATCCCTACCACTTATTAAATCAATAAATCGATCGATTGCTATTTGCTATGATCAGGTTATAATGTGTTGTCGAAAAACGAAAATTGTCTAATAAATTTTTAGAAAATGCTGATGATCTTTTTCAAAAGTGAATGTTTTTACACTAATTAGCATAGACCAATAATAGTTTAAATAAGCTATTCCCAACCGGAATGAATAAAAATGAACCGGATGAAAATGACCGGTTTTAAAAATTACGTAAGGGTTATGCGAATGCTTATGATATCTTAACTTTACCTGACTGCAGCTTTACCACCTTATCCTATCTACAACCAATAAATTGAAATGATGAAATTAAAGAGTTACCTCAAAGATTGACCACCACCTTCTGCTCCCGCACCGGTATGCATAGCAAATGAGTAACCGATCCAAAGTGAGTTCCATCCATTTGGACAGTTTGGTATTTGAATAGTTTGAGAGTGAACCGCAATAACGTTTGCTGGTGCTTCGCATACAGCACATCTACAAAAATATCCTTCTAATTAAAATTAATTAATTAAAAGGTGAAATTAAAACATTCAGTCTAAAAATTTAGCATAATTTTAAATTGGTCTAAAAATATTTTAAAAAATTTTTAAAATTGATTTATTAAAATTGAAATTTTCAGAAAATATATGCGTTTCTTGATAATTTCAGAAAAAGATATGATGTTAATTTAACGAGTAAATAAGTAGAAATATGATAAAAATACCTTGAAATATATGGCTCGATACCTTGCTCATTAACAGGCATCATTGGTATTGGAGCTGTTGTTGATAACCAGTATGATTTATCATTACGAGATGCATAATTACAGACGTTGTTGAAGTCACAGAACAAAAATGGCATCGTTGAAAATCTCGTCAAACATGAACCCGCGTGACCTGAGATATTTCACTTTTTTTTCTTTTTCTAAATAACAAAATAATCCATAATAATAGAAGGTTAATTAAATTAGGCAAGTTTGATCCGCGCATAAACTATTATGACTAATAAATTGATTCATGAAAATTTTTTTTTTCTTTTCATTTCTGATAATCTCCAAAAAATTAGTGATATGATAAGATCAACTGATAGGTTTGCATCAATTGAGAGGCTTATTATCAAATACACCGTCTAAACGAGTTCAGAAAGGCTAGTTCTTGATAAAATGATATGATATTATATGAAAGAATTTCAAAATTAATAATTCCTTCCTATACATCTCTATTGAGATTAATCAGGAGAAGTTACCAAGATCTTGATTATGTGATTTTTCATTGCCCTCGATATAGAGCAGAGAATAACCGTCCCACAGTTTCTGCTGTCCTTGTGGACACTGAGGTACTTCAGTTGTTTGACTGTGTTTGACGAGTAAGAATCCATCCCTGTATGCGGGTCCTGGTGCGCCTGGTGGTCCACCTGATCCTGGAAGTCCTGGTGGTCCTGGTGTACCTTCTACACCTGGAAAGCCGGGCAAACCAGGTGCTCCTTTTTCACCGGGTAAGCCAGGTAGTCCTGGGAAACCATCTGCTCCTTTCAATCCTGGTGGTCCTGGTGGCCCTGAAAATAATTTCCAGATTTTAATCATACATTAGCTATAAGGGAACTGAATTGCATTTTATTTATCAATAAATTCTGTGTTTTGTATTGAATTTAATCACAATGTTGACTAACCGCTTGGTCCTGGTAAACCATCCAAACCAGGAAGTCCTTTCTCGCCTCGGATACCCGGCACACCCATTGGTCCTTGATCACCTTTCTCACCACGCAGTGTTAACGGTTCAGCTCCTGGAGGACCCATCGGTCCTGGTTCGCCAATTTTGCCTGGGGCACCGTCTCGACCCGGTACTCCAGGGACACCACAGTCACCTTTTAAACCTGGTAGTCCTGGTAATCCTGGTTTTCCTGGTATACCTGCTTCACCTTTCGGACCCGGAAATCCGGGAAGACCTGGTTCTCCTGTAAAAAAAATGCAAATTCTTTGGAAAATTCCATCTGAAATTTAAAAATTTTAAAATTTCAAATGTTTAAAATTTTGAATTTCTTGAAATAAAGCTCAAATATCATTAAGTTTACTCCAGCATTCTTTTACAATCTATTCAAACAAGCGATGTCTAAAGACAAACCTTTCAATCCAAGTAAACCTGGTTGACCAGGTACACCAGGAGCACCCGGTAGTCCAGCATCACCTTTTGCACCTGGTATGCCTGGTAATCCGGCTATACCAGGTGCTCCAGGAAGTCCATCTTTTCCACGCAAACCTGGTAGTCCCGGTAGTCCTGGTTCTCCTTTAGCTCCCGGGATTCCAGGTAATCCAGCTTCTCCTTTCACTCCTGATGCTCCAGGATATCCTGACAGTCCTGGTTCACCTTTCATTCCAGGTAATCCAGGAAGGCCATCCTTGCCCGGAAGACCTGATGCCCCAGCATTGCCTTTTGGCCCAGCAATTGACGCACCTGAAGCAAATTCTAACAATAAAAAATAGAACTATAACATTAACAATAAAAATTAAAGCTAGGATTTTAAGGATTACAGGTTTCGCAAAAAGTTACTAAATTTGGGTTTGAAAATTACAATGATTTCCGTGTATGGCATTTTTAATAAGTAACGGAAAAAACTTGCCAGGTAAGCCAGGTAAGCCAGGTAAGCCAGCTTCACCTTTTTGTCCAGGTATTCCAGGAAATCCATCCTTTCCAGGTGCTCCTTGCATTCCAACTTCACCCTTAATTCCTGGGAGACCTGGCAATCCGTCTTTTCCAGGAAATCCTGGCAATCCCTTTATACCTGGGTAACCAGGAGCTCCTATATTGCCCTTAGGACCAGGTGGACCCATTGGACCTTGCAATCCTGGCAATCCAGGTTCTCCTTTCTGTCCTGGAAGACCATCCAAACCGCGATCACCTGGTGCTCCAGGTATGCCTGGAACTCCTTTGTCACCTCGGATTCCAGGTACGCCCATTTTACCAGGCAAACCGGGTGCTCCAGGAAGTCCAGATTGACCTGGAAAGCCTGCTTCACCTTTTTGTCCTGGTAGGCCGGGTAATCCAATTTGTCCTGGAATTCCTGGTGCTCCAGGGAGACCCTATAAAAGATATTCATCATGATTACTGTGAAAGCCATTTTTTTTGTATATGTGAAAGCCATTTTTTTGTAACATATTAGTAAAATTATCATTTTAAAAGTATAGAACTTTTTTTTTTAATTGTATATCTTACTGCATCGCCCTTAAGTCCTGGAAATCCCGGCGCGCCATCAAGTCCTTTTTGCCCAGGTGCACCTTGTCTTCCTTGTTTTCCAGGCAGACCAGGAATACCCTTTTCTCCTGGCAATCCGGGTGCACCGTAACCTGGTTTTCCGGCTTCACCCTTTATTCCTGGTAGTCCTGGTAATCCAGGTGGTCCTATAAGAATTATTTTGTCTAGCATATTAAAATTCTTCCTGTGGTTATAAGTCATTTTTATATCTTCAAATACTTCTTCTTTAAATTTTCAAAAATTAATTTAGTGCCAATATATCATGTGAATTAAAATTATACAAGTGTGAAAAGTTCATGAAATATTTAATTCCATTGAAAGCAAACCTTGAGGTCCTCGTAAACCTGGTGCTCCAGGTAAACCAGCGTCACCTTTTGCACCATCTCTTGCTGCAGGTCCGGGTTCGCCCTTTTCTCCTGGAAGTCCATTGAAACCACGTTCGCCCTTTGCACCTGGGATACCAGGAAGGCCATCTTTACCAGGTGCACCAGGGTAACCCGATGCACCTTTCATTCCTGGCAGACCAGGCAAGCCAGCCAATCCTCGTTCACCTTTAGCTCCAGGAGCTCCCGGTAGACCTGGCAACCCAGCGTCTCCTGAAACAGTTCTATTTTTTGCAAAAGATCAAGTGGTATATACGAATTGTTGAATATGCTATTTCATCATGCATTTTACAAGAGTTTTTCTTTTGTACGTAAAACAGAAAGTGTAATTCATACCCTTTGCACCTGGTATTCCTGGAAGTCCTGCTTGTCCTTTAAGTCCTGGAAATCCTGGTTGTCCGGCTGCTCCCGGAAGACCAGGAGCCCCAGGAAGTCCTGCTTCACCCTTCAAACCCGCAACACCTGGCAAACCCGGTAGTCCATCTTCACCTTTTTGTCCTGGAAAACCTGGAGCTCCTGCTATGCCAGGCGGCCCTACTGGACCTTCTGCTCCTAAAATGAAATATTTGTAATCACGCAAAATGTCATATCAAGCAAAATTTTCTTATTTTCCTCTTTATCATCATTTAACAGTGTTTTAGAAATTGTAGAGAATCGGAGTAATTCATGTAAGATTTACCTGGAAGTCCCGGGAATCCTGCATCGCCTTTTTGACCAGGTAAACCTGCAATTCCAGGTGCACCTGGAAGACCAGCTTCTCCCTTCAAGCCTGATACACCTGGCAAACCGCGTGGTCCTTCAGGACCTGGAAGTCCTGGTGCTCCTGGTAAACCGTCGTTTCCTTTCAGTCCAGGAAATCCGGGAGGACCTGGTGGTCCCGTCATAGACAGTCCTGGTTCTCCTTTAGCTCCTGGTAATCCTGGTGATCCTGGATATCCTCTTTCACCTTTCGGACCTTGCAAACCGGGTAGGCCAGGTTTTCCTGAAATTTAAAATTTAATGATATGGAGTTTTTCTTTATTCAAGTTTTTGATATCATTACACTTTCGAAGTCCAAATTTTTAGACATTCAAAATCAAGTTTGTGAATTGTAAAAAAGGAAAGACAAAGGCTAAATTGCTCACCAGCATTTCCTTTTGGTCCAGGTAGCCCAGGTTGACCATCGATACCTGGTGGCCCCGGCATACCTTCACTACCTTTTGGTCCCGGCAAACCTGGAAGTCCTGGAACACCTTCTTTTCCAGGTGCACCAGGATAACCAGCATCACCTTTCGGGCCTGGCAATCCCGGCAATCCGTCTTTTCCTGGAGGTCCTGGTTTCAGTTGACTTTCAGCTACAGGTGGTCCCATCGGTCCAACAGGTCCTTGAGCTCCCGGTAGACCGGGAATACCCGCTTCACCCTTCTGACCCGGAAGTCCTGGCAATCCTGGCAAGCCGTAACCTGGAGCTCCTTTCAACCCAGGCAGACCTGGAAGTCCATCTTTGCCAGGTTTTCCTGTCAACCCCGGAAAACCCGGTTCACCCTGAAATAATGCAACATTTCAAAATCATCTTGCTACATTATTCATTTACAACATAAATTGGGGAATTTGATGAGCTCCGATTTTTGTAATCATCAAACATGAAACACATTATTGTCGTACAAACCTTTGGTCCTGGTATTCCTGGTAATCCTGGCAAACCAGGTGGGCCAGGCTTCCCTGGTAGTCCGATTTGTCCAGGCAAGCCTGGGAAGCCAGCTTCACCTTTTTGACCTGGATATCCTGGTGGTCCTGGTCGAAGCACCATATGTGTTGGTTCACCCTTTTGCCCTGGCAAACCAGGAATGCCGTCTTTTCCAGGTGGTCCTGGTGGACCAGGCCTTCCTGGTGCACCAGGCATACCATCATCTCCAGGAGGACCTTGATCACCTGGCACTCCTGTTAATCCTCTTTCGCCTTGCGGTCCCGGCAAGCCTGGATAACCATCCGAACCTAAAAAGATGTGACGATAATAACCGTTAGAGTAGACCGCCTTCCACCACCTTTCGGCCAGTCCCTTATTATTTTCTCTTGCATAATTATTGCCTTAGTCTTTCGATCGAATTCCTTCATTTGCAGTATTTTTCTGAATGGAACATGCATGAGAATGTTCAACCCAGCAATCTTCGTTATCAATGGGTGGCTTCGGCAATCGAAAGTTACCTTTTTCTCCTTTCATTCCAGGAACACAAATTGAACATGATCCACCACGTTCACCTTTTTGTCCAGGTAAACCAGGTAAACCTGGGGCACCGTCTCGTCCATCATAACCTTTGGGTCCTGGTGGTCCTCGCGGACCCGGTGGACCAGGAAGTCCGTTCAACGAATCACCAGCAGGACCTAAACAATGAATTTTCTATGAGATCAAATTTCAGTGTTAAAATGTCCAAAACGAAAGAAACTAACTCACCTCGAACACCTGGCAATCCCATTTCTCCTTTCCTTCCGGGCAAACCATCTAAACCAGGTCTACCATCTTTTCCTGGTAAACCCGGAATACTTTTTCCATCAGCACCACGTGGTCCAGGTTCTCCCTTAGGTCCTCGTGATCCGGGCAATCCTGGTGGTCCAGGTACTCCAGGTGCCCCTGGGATACCAGCGTCACCTGCAGCGCAACAAAGCTAAGGAATTCAGTATAACGCATTGCTAAGAAATATACTAGCAAAATATTTAGTAATATTACCCACCTTTCGATCCTTTTGGTCCTGGCAATCCTTCTAAACCAGGTAAACCTGGAAGTCCAGGCCCACCTGGTGGTCCTTGGGGACCTGGTGGCCCAGGTGGTCCAGGATAACCATCAACACCTGGTGGGCCAGGTTGACCTTCTCGTCCCGGTAATCCAGGTGGTCCCGGTGGTCCGTCCGTAAAGTCACCACCCTACAATCATCATAATAGACTGAGTTATCTCTCTCACACATTGGTAGATTGTAAAATGGTCCTCCTCTCAGATCAGAAAGGGATCCGTTTGATCTTCAGACGAATTGGATTTGCATTCCAAAGTTTTCAATAACGGTCCTGTTCTTGCTACATCTTAGTTTTGTAAACATCGGATGCATTATCAACTTTCAAGCAGACACATGAAACTTAAATAGACTTTTGCATGTTGGTTTAAATACCTACTCCTGGTGGTCCGGGTGGACCACGAACTCCTTTTGGTCCATCTCGACCCGGAAATCCTGGTTCACCCTTTTGACCAGGTAAACCAGGCACACCCGGTAAACCATCCAATCCACGATCACCTTTGAAACCGGGTGGACCTGGCAAACCAGGTCGTCCTTCTTTGCCCTGCAAATAACGCAAGAATATTTTAATCACTTTCACAAATTTGTCGATGTCAAGCAAAACACAACTTAAGTTTTTACATAATAACTTTTTGACCTTTTGACAACCTCTTGACCTCTTGGTCAAAAAATTGAAAAATGTAGCTTTAACAAAAGAAAAAATGAATAAAAATTACATATTTCATTCAATAAATTTATATGACATCAAATTAACTTATGCATCCGGAAATGATTCATCATAAAGACTTACTCGTGGTCCTGCTGGTCCTGACAATCCTTTTTCACCTTTCATACCAGGAAAACCCGGTTGTCCTGGTGCACCAGCATTTCCCGGGTATCCACGTGCCCCAGGTTCTCCAGGTTCACCCTTAAAACTTACATGCATTACTTCGATTCCGGTAAAGTATTACATTTGAAAAGTTTTAAGCTTTAATTGGAAAATTCCTTCTGGAAGAAAGCTGTTAGATTGGCATAAAGTAAATAAGTAATGAAGAATGCATACGATGGAAGTAACATGCAAAAGATTCATTCGTCTTTTCAAACTCAAAACTTTCGCTTTTTCTTCCTTACTGCAACTTAAACCAAATCTTTTGTTTTTTATTAGGAGTGATAAAATGATAATTAGTGATAAGAATGTCACATGTCAACTTATCATGAGTAGTTTACATTTTCAGTTATAAAAAACTTGGAAATTTTTCTCCTTCCTTCCTTACTGTCATCTGAACTAAACTTTTGTTGATTTTTCCGAGTGCCTCTTATCAAAAGAGACGGATATGACTTCTAAACCTTTAGAGATGATAATGATAGCCCCTTAGATGGTTCCTTAGTAGAATAATTTTTGAAATTGTTAAAACAGGAGAGAAAACTTTGAATTGCAATCCTAAAATTATCATGCAAATAGGTATGGAAATATTTAAATTTTCACCGTATGGCATTTGTTTTAAATTTTTGATATGATAAAAATGAATCAATAAATGAAATCCAAAAAAAATTTTCTTTTCTTTTGTTAGCTGATAGATGAAAGAAAAGTTATCGCAGGCAGATAGTAAGTTTGAAAGATGAAATTTATGCTTTTGATAAGCAAGCAATGGGATAAAGTTTTAAAATCAGTTAGGAATTCTAAAAGTGATAAGACTTTTATATGAGATCAGTTGTTTATTTGTTTATTTATTTATTTTAACTTTATGTGATCCCTTCCGGATAGTTGCCTCATTTTCCAAATTTAGAAATAACATTCTGAATCACCGATTCAAAACCAATTCAATCGCGTTGCAATTAAATGTTTAAAACGATAATTCAATTATTCAATTTCAAAATTTTATTTCTGGTTTGAAATTATAAAGATTATATGTTATATCATATTATTTTATGACAATTTACAGAAGAAAATTGTCCAATTTACAAGTTTTAACTTCTATGAATTAAATAGATTCTTATAATTTTAAAGCAGAAATCAAATTTTGTATTTTTTTAAAACTAATTTCTCAAGATCATTTATTATTAGCAAATTCGGTAGGAAAATTTTTTAAATTATTAATTTTGATAGCTCACTTCGGTCACAATTTTCAGTCATTAATTTTGAACCATTATTATAGTGCTACATATCTACAAATTATGCCGTGAAAGTATTATTTTGCGCACATGCATATTGCGCTTATGCATGTATTTGTGCAAATTTCAGCACGCACGCAATAGAATTAAGCATAAAGCTAACAACCGAAAACATATAAAAGTCTTATAGATCAAAGAGAAATACTTTGGTTAAAGGCTCAGCCGATTTCTTCTTTTTTTTTCTTTTTGCATAATATATAGTCAATTAAAAATATTAGATTTCTGGTAACTTTTTATTTTAATTAACAAGTTTTTGTTGCAATTCGATTGAAATATTCGAATTAGATCGGCTGATTTGTGAAAGGAATAGTGTCAAGGTAAGCGGTACTTTGCATTTATGGTATGCAAACCTTCTCTCCCTTCATTCCTGGGGAACCCTGCGGACCAATGATTGTACCTTTGGCACCAGTTGATGGCACCGGACCTGGAAGACCCGGTAAACCTCGAGGTCCTTGATCGCCCTAAAATACATTGTGTTGCTGAGAAGAAATTGCTAAAAAATACCCACCTTCATACCTTTTTCTCCTTGTATACCACGTGGCCCTACGATAGAACCTGAACCAGTGAATTCCCGCGGTCCAGGTGGACCTGGTGGTCCTGGCTGACCAAGATCTCCCTAAAGGTATTGTCTCTTCCTGTTTCGATGCAAAAATGTGCATCTTAAAAAACACAAAATAATTTCAACATTTGAATACAAAGTTAATAGCTTTAACACTAAATGTAAAATTGAATATTTAATCAAAAAAAAAAAAAAACTAGAAGAAAGTGGTATACTTTGGTTATATTGTTAGACATATATAAACTCTAAAGAAAAAACTTGAAATAACATACGGGCTCTCCTTTTGGCCCTATACTTCCGATACCTGGATTTCCAGGCATACCAACCTCACCAGGTGGTCCTCGCGGTCCCTGAATATCACATCTTGCATTTAATTGTTGAATTAAAAAATTATTAGTTCAATAATATCGCAAAATAAATGAACGTGATTAACTTTTAAGTAGTCCATTAACTATTTTTAACTAAAGTAATAATTTCTTTTACTTTCGAATTATATTTGCTAAATCATACAGTATCACCCGAACACCTCAGTTATCGTTATTTAAGTATTTTAGTATCTGATTAAAATATCAATACATAGGTTCTAATCATTTAGCATATTAATGTGCGATATCAAATACAATGACTAAATACTACTCGAAAATCAAGCACAACTTACAGCTGGGCCAATATCACCACGATCGCCTTTCATTCCGGGGAATCCATCTCGTCCAGGTGGTCCTGGCAAGCCTGGCATTCCTGCCATTCCTGCGTCACCCTTTAATGACGAATAATTGATGAGATAATGAGATATTGCATTATGCCATTATTGAAATAAATATGCAAAGGTAATATACAAAAAATTTTGATGAAATGAACTCCAAGTATTAATAAAAACAAACGTACTTTTTCTCCGGGAGCTCCAGCATATCCGATAGCTGGTTCACCCTTCGGTCCTGGAATACCTGGTGTGCCTGGAAAACCGGGCATACCGGGTGGTCCAGGTAAACCTGGAACACCGGGAGCTCCATTGGTTCCGTTGCAACCATCCCAACCAGGTGGACCTGGCGGACCCGGTTCTCCTGGTCGTCCATTTGCGCCATCATTCCCCGGGAAGCCGGGTACACCAATCAATCCCTACAAATAAATGTGTGATTAAAATAAACTCAAAATTGTCTTCATATTTGCAATTTTGCATCATTTAACCTATTTCAAAATTACTATAAATACCATTCGGATAGAATGAAATATTTTGCAAAATCCTCAAATGAATCATCAATGTAATTGCTGTTTTAAGCATACTTACAATAATTCATAAGCAATAAAACTTACTCGATCACCCTTCATTCCTGGTGGTCCTGGCGGGCCTTGTGAACCTTTTTGCCCTTTAGGTCCTGGAAGACCTTCAGGACCGGGAAATCCTCGTATACCTTGTGCACCTGGAGGACCTTGAGGTCCTGGCATACCCTGAAAAACGATCAGAAAATTTACCTCCAACTTATTCACAATCGTAACTTATCAAAGCTTACTACTACTGCTACTACTACTATTAGTTTGGTGGAGTATTCCGAAGCAATATTCAAAACTTCAAACTTACTATACTTCCTTTCTCGCCAACGCAGAAGCATCCTCTGTTTGTGCAATCTCGACATGTTGTCTGCTAAAAATAATTTTCATATTTTTAAATTTAAAATTATTCTAAATAATTATTGATTATGTCATTTGTGTCCCTTACAAATAGTTATTTGATTGATTACATTTTTGCAACAGATGCTGAGAATAGCGTTGTTGATAGAATTTCCTATCTTCCATATACAATATTGCCGGGAAAAAAAAAAAAGTTTAGTGGATTGAAGAACAAAGAGTTATCGGAATGTCTCAGTCATTCTACAAATCGATGGATGTGATCTATCTGGACATGTCAACGTTTAGAAGGAAGAAGATTAATGATTTCATCATTTCAAAAATCATTTAATCTGATCATTATTTGTTTAGATTGTTAATCTGTTATTAGGTATGGAATTAAATTTGAATACTATAAAGTTGTAGTAAACTACCACTTTATTTTAACTGTATCAGTATACCTAAATTTGGATCAAAAAAGGTTAATCTTGATTAAAATGACAAAATAAATAGCACATTACCTATGTTTCTCATCAATGGGAAATGGCGCATTTTGTATTCTATGATATTAATTGATTATTTACAATAGTAAGCATTTAAATTATGCCGGAAAATTCATTTAAAAAAAGAAGTAAATTATTCTTAAACTGATTCAAAAAAAAAGTCTCCTTAAAAGTTGTTAGAAAATAAAGAATCGATTAAGAAATTTAATTAATTTAAAAAACTTATTTAAATTTTACTGAATGATCTGATTGAAGTAATTATTTGATTGCATGACTCATCCGATATTACAAAATTTTAGAATTTCAGTATTTTTTTTTAATTGTTAAGCCTAACGCTAAGGCATAATTAGAAAATCTTCATTGTTTGGGCTAGAAATATGTTCAAATTAAAGAATTCAAATCTTATCAATTTTGCTTTCAAATTTGAAATCCACATTTTCAAATAAGATAGTTACACCGTAATCTTCATTGCTGATACAAATATTATGATTAGTGAACAAAGCTATTCATCTATTGTCTATCTATAATATTGCAAGTAATTATGCATACTGTATTATTTGTATAGGATAGTATTGTCAACTGTATTGGAGATAAAGCAAATCAATCTGAAGGGCAATATTATTAAGCAAACATTAAAGTGTGGTATTTATTTGTTATCAATGTTATCAGCAGTTATATTTATCTGTTACGGTAGTCTGATAAATGAGTGAAGTACGGTGAAGGATGAAGCATCTGTTGTGTTGTCTTTTTTTCTAATTTTCCTTACTAAAAAGTGCATTCGCCTTGGTAATATTAATCAAAATTACATTTTTCCCTTCACAATCATTATCCTTTTTCTTCTTCTTTAATCCTTATTATTTCCTGAAAGATTGCATCAGAATTCCGGAAAGAGACCAACTGTTTCTAAATCAATATAACGGTCCGTACGGTTTTACATATGCTATTCCAAATGTTTGTATGTTTTGATATTTTTAATACTCATTAGCTATTAGCACAACAAATATAAGCTTAATTAATTTATCTTTCATTGATTTTTTCATTTTTTATTTAATTAATGTGTCAGTCTTCAAAAATCCATTATTTCCAAATTGATGATAGAATTATTAGCTTAAAAAAAAAAAACAAATTCTTAGATTACAAAAGTAATTTTAGTGTGCTAATAATCTTATACAAAGTTTAAAAGAGAAGAAAAAATCTGAAAAAAGTTCTTGCATATGTAAATGAATCAACCAATAATTAATTATTGATTTTTTTTTGTCACACTGATGAGAAATGATCAATTTTTAAACTATACATTTTTCTATTAATGATTATATCAAGCAGTACGAATGATAATATAAATTTAATTTAAAAAAAAAGAGGAACTGTTAAGGAAAGATAAATCATAAAGATTTCGAAGGATTAATAAAAGAAGGAAATTAAATAAAATTTCAATATCATTTACTCTATTAAAATTTTATAATTTAAATACTGAAATATAAATACAATCGTGCAATTCAATTTCTGTTTAATATTTTTGCTTATCCTGTTTTTTTTCTTTTTCCTGTCGATTTTTTATGCAAAAATTTCCGCAACAAGAAAAATGAATTGATCCATTTCAGATAGATGAAATAGAAATTATTCCTTCATTCTCACACATCACTTTTTATGTGCAAATAAAACGGCCAACTTTATCGGTTCAATTTCTTAAAATTTATCAATGCTTTAAAATGAATGTTAACTACTACCAAGTGTAAATATTGAATAGTTTTCAAATTTAAGAATTATCAATGATAATAATCTTTCACTTCCAATCTTTTCAAATCTAATAAATTACAGTACGAAACAATCTGATCGCCTAATTTTAGGCTAATTAAGTGTAAATATAACTGCTAATTTATTACTCGTATCATTAAATTTGTTACGGAAAATTAAAATTCATCAATGAAAGTTTTAGAAATAAAAATAATCAATGCAAATATTTACACTTCAAAATTATTTAAAATATTTGTGAAATCAATTTTTGCTTCCTTTTTCACTCTTAATTAGCCAACTTAAATATTTCGTGTTTATGTTAATAATTATCTTAATAATTTTTCACATCTAAGAGCTGCAAAATATCTCTTCTACAGATTTCACATATCTCAGTGGAAATTATCGATTATTTAAGGCTACTAATTTTCAAATTTTTGAAATTTTAAAATTAATAAAATTATGCTTAAATGTTGTCTTCTTTTTTGATGACTAAAAATTGTGCAAAACATCAGTAAAATAAAAAATATTAAATTCGAATCAAAATTTTTTCTTAAAATTAAAATTATTTAAAATTAACTGATTGAAATCATATTCATTTCGTTGAAATTAGTGTATAAATGCTGAATGCCAAATGTTACACAAATGGTTCACGGTACCAAGAACGAGAACAGTTGTCATTAAATGTAGAAGGAAACGATCATTGTGAAGATGAAAAATCTTTCAAATAATTATCACTGCTCAATGAAAACTGTTGCTTATCATTTTTATTGTTAATTTTTATCAATTTTAGTTCCGTTTTGTAATAGCAATTCATAAAAATTGGCAAAATATTTTTAACTTAATTTAGATTTCTAATTTTAAAATTAATCCCAAAATAATATTTCGAAAAAATGTCAAACTATTTTTCGAAACAAATACTTATAAATTTAATTTTGATATTGTTAGTAAAATATTGAAATGATTATACAAAAAACAATCTTTTGATATTTAAAATGAGTATCATTTAAATGAATTAAATGAGTATAGCATTTTAAACAAATATACTATAAATGAATACATCAGTACAGCATTTAAATGAGAAAGGAAACAGTTACACATCCAGAATTTCAATTCATTCCAGCCATTTAAATAGAATCGTGTTAATGATTTCAATTATATGATTTTCAATTTTTCATTTGTAGTCTTTTTTTTGATCTAAGAATATCAAAATGGAACATTTGACTGGTCTAGACGGAAATATTTTAATAAAGGAATTCAATTTGTTAGTCATTAATGATGCAAATTTGAATCAATAATGCTAGCTTAGCTAATATCTCTTAAACTTCCTCAAGTTGCTGTCTTCAAGAAATGATAATTGATAAATCATTATTGGAAAATTAATTAATAAAAATAAATTAATAGTGATTTAAACATCACGTATCAAGAGAAAAGAGAATGGAAAAAAAAATGGGTAAAAAATTTTCAAATGATAAATTGTATTTGAAAAGAGCAAAATATTATTTTAAATTTTTATCATAGAAAAACTTATCAAACACTATTGGTTTGTCATTGATAGCTTTGACATTATTTTTCTCTAAATTTGTCTAATTAGTTTGACAAAAGAATGCAAAAGTAAATTGATTAATTCATAAAATGCATTTTAAAATTTCTAATTTAATTTTTTATTATTTTAAAATATATTAGCAAGAAAAAAGGATGGTTTGAAATGTCAATTACCATTAGGAAGAGTAAATAGAAAAAATATGAAAATAATATCACTGCAATGTAGCTGATAACATTGTTATCTAATTTGATGAATCATCTTGACCAATAGATGAAATGGTCATTCATTCAATTATCGAATAAATTAGAGAATATTAATGTTACATTTGAAGATCATGGTTAATCTAAACTGGCCTATTCTAGTAGTTTTGATGAAAACCACTGAATCACATCTATTGCATTATTAATACATCAGTTTAAATACCGGTAGATTAATTCACGGGAATTTGTTCTTTCGATTGTTAAACAACTATAAGAAGTTGTTGGATATTAAAATAATATTTAATAAAAACAGTTCTTATATATTACTGATGAAAATTTTAAGTGAAAATAAATTTCATTGCAAACTTTGCTAAGAATAAAATTGACTTTTGAATTTTATTGCATTCATCTGCCATTTCCTTCGCTTACAAAGGTTGAACCATTTAAAAATAAAGCATTTCCGCTCCTCAGTCACTAAAGTTTAGCTTTACAAATGTAACATTTGGCAATTGGAAAGCATCGGTATAACCACTTCGCTCCTCATCAAATCATAAATATTGTCCAAATGAAATTAATGGTGACAATCTCTACCTCATCTATGTGATGCCGTAAATTCCTCAAACTTTTGATACAAGTAATAAAAGAAAGCTCATCTAACAAATTTCAATAGAAAACTTCAAATATTTGCTAAAAATTAAAAAAAAACCAGTGTTTCACAAGTTTAAAATTACAACTTAAGATGTGACGAATAGTTATTGATCAAAAACTTGTGACCAGGACAGTTTGGTCATTTCTATACCGATAGTTATTAGTATAATTTGGACTTGATAATTATGTTGTTGATAATTATTAAAAAGTTATTTAATTTAGACTAACCGCGTCACTTGTCCACGTAAAGAATATTGTTATAATTGCGAGTAGTAAAGGCCTGCAATAATTATTTTTGATTATTTCTCGTGTAAATTTTGAATCTGACAAGAATAATGCAAAATTGAATCATACCAAATTCATTAATGATATTCATTGCTCATTAACTATTTGTTTCTCTAATTAATACTTCAGTAATTTAACTTTATCTAATATATGAAAAGATACGGTAGGAAAGTTTGCTATTCATGTTTCAGTGCAATAAAAATAACAAGTGGGTGGGCAAATAAACTAGCCAATTAAAATGATGAAGCACATGCATGATATTAATACGGTATTAGAATGAATGTGAATTAGAAGTACTATTAATAGATGAATTTTTTCCTAGCATATTTATCGTCCTGTTAATGATAAATTACAATGACTTTTTCAGGTATTTCAATTTTTGATTTGACAATTTAAATTTATTTGTTTAAAACTTAAATGCTTAGATAAAAATGTATTATAGCCAAGCGATTTCTCTTTGTAAGTTGAAATTAATCAAGTCACTGAAGCTTATCACCACAAAATTTATCATTGAAGATATCATTATACGAGTAGCAATGAGTAATAAATCAAATAATAAAACTACTAATTAATTACTAATATAACCTGAAATGTTACATTTCAATTAAAGTTCATAATTTGAAATATTCTGTAATCTTCGATCAACTTGTGAATTATTCATACTGATGCATTGATAAATTTCAACAATAGTTGAAAAAAAAAAAGCATAGATTAAGTATCGAAGTACCAACCATAAGGAAATCCTGAACCGCGTCCTCATAGCTGATGAGGCGGGTCAGTGAATTGTTACGCAGGTAAAAAGCGTATAATATGCCAGAGAAAGCTGAGTGATCGGATAATTTTGAATTATTGTAAACGGTATCCGAAATATCGACACCGGATCCAAAAAGTTAGGACAATCGTAATTAACCACTTTATCTTTTTTCTTTTCCCGGCTTCCGTACCACCTTTCAAATCGTCGTGCTGTTAAGCGGAACAATCAATTGGACGTAGCTCAGGACGTAGCCCTGATAATACTGCTACGCCTCGGTAACAAAACCACTGCTCTAAGCAAGGAACTTCGTCTTTTATCTTGCCGTAAAGAATGTAAATGACTAGAACGATTGTGAAAGAAAAAGAAAAAAAAAAAAAACGGTATGCTAAAAATTGTTCAAACACACATCTGTTCAACATTTCTTAAAAACTCTATCAAAGGCAACTTTAAGAAAAGATATTTGATATAATTAGTTTTAACTCTGATATCAATCAATAATACCACAAAACATTATTTAGTAGTAATCTTGAAAAATAAATAGAATTCTTTTTTTTTTTTTCAAAAATTTATTCAATTAAAACAATGGCATAAATAATTATTTCAAATATTAAACTTAATTATTGAAGTAATTAAGAGATGAAGAGAGAAAAAAAATATAAATATTTCTATTGGTTACATAATTACTAATTAGCTAATCATACGGAAAATAATTATGAAAATATTTAAGAGAAAGAGGGAGAGAGGGAGGGAGAGAGAGAGAGAGAGAGAGGAAGGAAAGAAAC